GCATAAGTGTGCTTTTCCTACTAAAAAACTTGTTTCTTGGTATTTATGGTATTTTCTACAAGCGCTCTTTATTTTATTTCATGGATAGTGCTGTAATAAGTTTCAATCGCGACTAGGTCTGCATTTCTCTGTCGATTATGAATCCCTCCCTCTCGTTATTACAATTTATGGTTCGATTACTATTTTATCTCAGGGATTGCGCTACGATGGAATTCAATCATAGAAAAAATATTACCAAGACACGTCTGGGCTCGTCTCGCGCGAACGATCGCGGCGCGCTCTCGCGGCTGTTGTATTGCGACTCGGAAATTATCGGATGGCCTCTTAAAACGTTGTATATATATGTATATGTATATCTATTTTAATCGATCACTGTGTCTAGAATGTCGCTGTGTGGACACCTACGTCACGGAGCAAAAATTACACGGGTGCCTTAAAATTGCCTTACATCTACTTTGCTCGACGGCACACGTAATTAGATATACAGAGCTTGCATGTATATTTATATGTATATACATATATTGATCCTATACACCCACATATATATGTATAGATCGATATGTATGTATATATACGTTATATGTATATGTATATTTACATTGCTTAATGTATCTCTTAAGTTTCTATCTTGTCTTGTTTAACGTGTGTACGAGATTAATTCACGAGGTGCCATTTTTTTTCTTTTTTAGTTTTTCTGTATACGTGTGTCTTTTCGTGTGTGTCTCTGTTTCTTATCTTTTTGGTTTCGTTTCCTCAGTAATATCTGGCAGCCGTGCGAAGAAGTTGAAAAATCGCTTTTCCCCCCTCTCCCCCCTCATTTTTTCCGAGTTACTCCTTGCCCTTTCATGCTTCAGGGGTGCACAAGCCCTTTTTGGTTTCATTTCTGCTTTTTTCTTTTTTTTTTTTTTTGAATTCCAGGAAACCGGATGTGAAAGATCCGGGCAAACGAAACGAAATTATTTGTCCATGTGCTCGCGTTTCGATTCGAGGGAGCGTTCTTTCTTCGTTGCGTTCCTTCCGGTTGCACGTGGGGAGGATCGATACAAAGTTTGTGTTCGAAGGTAGAGAAAGTGTACGATAGTTGAGAATTGACTGAAATAAAGAAACTTCTCGTTATTTTCCCACTTTTTTTAGTTTACTTGTTCTTGTTTAAAATTTCCCAAGCTTTTTTCCCCCTCCCCTGTTTCTTTAATGAATGCTGCCATTTTAGCGGTGCACCCTTGACATTCGCTCCGGCTCTCGAGAGTCGCTCGAGTTTGACCTGGACTGCCTCTCTTCCAATGGATCATAAGATCTCACTTTTCCTTTTCCTCCCTCTCTACATAGATACGACAGATTATTTCCTCACTGCTAATACTCGTGCATCACTTAGTACTTCCCTCTATATATTTTCTTTTTTTTTTGTTCTTTTGAATATTTTGTAGCAATTTAATTTATCTACGGTTACTTCATCGACTGGTATTGTCATGTTAGCTGTGCCCATCTTGAAAGTCCAGATCAAAGGTGTCTTATGTTTCGTGTTCGTTTTTGTTCTTGCCCATGGTCCTTGCTTTCGAAAGTTTCATCCCTTCTATGGGTCCTTGGAACCTGTAAAACTGCCAGCACTTTAATGGGAATTCAACGGTATTTCGCAAGATGAAGAATAATTTCGAGAGGGTGTAGGATAGTTTTGAAACTTGAGGCGCCGAGCTTCGAGCAGAGATTTCCAAGGAATTTTGTCTTATTTTCGAAATGCAGGTACTCCTTGCTAAAAGACCGAGGTCGCGTTGTCAGACGTCCTCGACGATCTTGGGGTGACAATAATTTCGACATCGCTAGAAAAAGGTGGTGCATAGATCGATGAGAAACGATTATTCGCGTGAAAGATCCTCCCTTAGGCCGTGGAGTTAATCTTCTTTGTTCAGCAAAGATTTATTGTCGATCGAAAGACGCTCGTCGTTGAAATCGTTCACTTCTCTTCTTCCGGGAACGTCCCGGCGACTAGTTTTTCCATTTTACAATCCTTTCACAATTGTGGTCAAAGTGCTGAGGTGGAATCGAGGGAGCTTCCAACAACGCGACGTAGATTACAGCGTGTATAGAGCGGACACGTTACTGTTTAGAGTTTCGAACGACAGATGGCGTTAATGTTTGCCTTTCTCCAAAGAACCAACAATTTAATAACATTCCACAAATCACATGGACTAATCTCTTTTTTCAACTTGTCCACAATCAATTGTATTCGTCAAAAGCAGACTTCGAGCACAGACAGATGGCGTTAATGTTCTGCAGAGAACCAACGATTCAATAATTTTCTATGAATCACCATCGATTAATTTCTGTCTCAAAATTTATCGAAAATCAATTCTACTCGTTAAGAGCAAACAGATTTCGCATGGAATATTCAACCAGCGACAGATGGCGTTAACGTTTGCCTCTCTCCGAAGAACCAATGGTTATAATAACTTTCCAGAGACCACATCGATTAATCTCCTCCGATTACTTATCCAAAATCGATTATTTTCGTCAAGAGAAAGCAGGCTCCGAGTGCAATTTTCAAAAATCCCATTTTGCCACACTTCTGGCCAAGATTAATTCGACCAAGTGTCGGAAGTCGAAGAAACGGTGGATCGTTTCGGTCGAGCGGATCACGTGACATTCGAAGCGGTGCGGATTCGGTGTGAAAGAACGGCGACTTCCGGCGAGCGATGGTACGCGCCGGCGAGACAGGGAATTTATTTATAACGATGCCGAGATTGAAAAGGTTGCCAGAGAGAGCCTGGTTTGTCCAATTTTGCGGAGCGGACAAGCGAAGCGTAAATTCCTCGGGAAACTGGCACGATCTTTCCCTCTTCTTCTCCTCTTTCCCTTCCCCTTCTTCTACCCACCACTTGCTTGTCTTTCGTTTCGACGAGCAAATGGCACTCCCCGATTTGAAGGTGTTCTCGAGCCACCACGAGGACATCAGTCTGCACTTAACCCGTTGAATTTTCAAGAACCCTCTTCGTTGAATCCTTAAAGCCGGTTTTCAACGGTCGACCGGTTTCGAGAATCCCGATTTAGAAACCTCCTTACGCTTGATTCATGCTCCGTTTGATCACTGGCTCGGATCGAGTGTCTCATTAAGAATTTCACCTTTCCCCAGATTGGTTTCCATTTACTTTCTCGAGTATCGCGTTGGCATCAGTGGTACGTTTTCAAACGGAACTGTTTCTCGATTCTGCTTTGCCACGGAGGAGCTCTTTCCACTGCAGTCGATTGGGGTGGTCTAATTGGTCTAGTTGAAACCGCCGCGGTCACAGATTCACTTCCTCCGCTCTTTTCCATCTTACGAGGACCTGGTCGTTGGTTGATCTGTCTTTGAAGAAACGCCGGAGTGTTCTCAATCTTGGTGTTTTGACCAAGGAATTCCCTTCGTTCTGGCAACTTCGCAACCCGTTTGCCGTCTATTCGCAGAAATGCTTCAAAGATCTGAATTCGCCTCGCCTCTCTCACCGGGCAAACTTTCCGAAGGCAATTTCACTTGGAAACTCTTGGTAAATCGTTCCGCGGCTCTTTTGAACGGTTTAAAAGGCAATAACAACCCAGGGCCAAGACGACCGGTCATCCGAGCTTGCGTTCTTCGACGAGCAGAAATTGTCGCCAAGATTTTGGAGCGGGTCCAAGCGATCCAGGATCCCCGCGCGGCCGTTCTTATGTAAAACCGGAGCACTTGTTGCGTTTTACTAATGAAACTTTTGTGTCGCGAGCCATCGATTGCACGAACAGGTGGTTAATAGCGGCTGGTGTTTACGCCAGCCCTGCA